CATTACCGAGAGGGCCCAGAGATACCTCTCCGACAATCGGAGTGACAAATCCTAATCTCGAAATACGCCGACCCAACATGTACCTTTGGAGACACCTATAGAGCTCCTTTATAATCACCCAGTTACGTTGTGACGTTTGGTAGCACACAAAGTGTTCCTCCGGCAAACGGGAGTTGCATAATCTCATAGTCATAGGAACATGTATAAGTCATGAAGAAAGCAATAGCAACATACTAAATGATCGGGTGCTAAGCTAATGGAATGGGTCATGTCAATCACATCATTCTTCTAATGATGTGATCCCGTTAATCAAATAACAACTCTTTTGTTCATGGTTAGGAAACATAACCATCTTCGATTAACGAGCTAGTCAAATAGAGGCATACTAGTGACATTTTGTTTGTCTATGTATTCACACATGTATTATGTTTCCGGTTAATACAATTCTAGCAAGAATAATAAACATTTATCATGAAATAAGGAAATAAATAATAACTTTATTATTGCCTCTAGGGCATATTTCCTTCATTTATATCATATTACCTGAGTTTATCCCCCTACATCATGTCATCGTGCCTAATGCGTTACTCTGTTCTTATGAACTTAATACTCTAGATGCATGCTGGATAGCGGTTGATGTGTGGAGTAATAGTAGTAGATGCAGAATCGTTTTGGTCTACTTGTCGCGGACGTGATGCCTATATACATGATCATGCCTAGATATTCTCATAACTATGCACTTTTCTATCAATTGCTCGACAGTAGTTTGTTCACCCATCGTAGAATTTGCTATCTTGAGAGAAGCCACTAGTGAAACCTATGTCCCCCGGGTCTATATTCCATCATATTATTTTCCTATCTACTTTCTATTTCTGCCGCCTTTTATTTTGCAATCTTTATTTTCCAATCTATACAACAAAAATACCAACAATATTTATCTTATTATCTTTATCAGATCCCCCTTTTGCAAGTGGCTGTGAAGGGATTGACAACCCCTTTATCGCATTGGTTGCAAGGTTCTTATTTGTTTGTGCAGGTATGAGGGACTTGCGTGTAGTCTCCTACTGGATCGATACCTTGGTTCTCAAAAACTGAGGGAAATACTTACGCTACTTTGTTGTATCACCCTTTCCTCTTCAAGGGAAAACCAACACATGCTCAAGAGGTAGCAGTGATCACTGACCTCTGTGGTGAACAGCTGCAGCTCATGAAGCGCCGCAACGATCTGGTTGCGGATGATGGCTCTGCGATGCAGAGGCACATAGTGGCTGGATTTTGCGATAGCCAGATAGTCGTGGTTGAGTGGAGCAATGGGGCCAACCACCATGCCAATGCGCACAAGTCGATCCGCCGGGCCGGGCTCGACGGCGAACCCCGGCGGGAGGAGGGGGACGGGATTCAGGGGGTAGTTGGCCATGGTCGATGAGGGGGTGGGGATGGAGTGATTGCAGTGTTGACGAGATAGGGCTGAGCGAGGGCTTTTGGGTTTTAGAGGTGGAAGGCGTAGCGTGAGGGGGGCGGCTGTGAATCTTTGACTACCCACCTCCACCTCTTTTGAAATTTCAGCTTTCTGCAAGCCCTTACCACGTGGCCGTAGAAGCCACAGGCGGCACAGCGGATGGACGGGCCGGATTATGATCAGAAAAGGGTGCTCCAGAAGATCCGGTAGGATTGATCAAGGGATTGCAAATTGATGGAACTTGCCCATTAATATGAGAAGCAATGATACGTTTGGGGCAATTAATTGCTTTGTGATCAGGACCGGAGCAGTTAATGCAAATGAGCCTTGCCTCGCAATTGATCCGGGTGTGCCCCCATTGAAGACATTTGGAGCATAAGGCAGCCCAATTAGTGGCAAGATTTTCAATATCCTGCTGCGAGTAACGTGCTTGAGCTAAATCCGCCTTATGTTGTGCCTTGAGCATAGGTGGCTCAATATCATGAGGAGGGGCATATTTGAATGTCGAATTCAAAAAACAAAAGTGGGAGCGGGGCATAAGGCAAATTCAAAGGGCATTTAAACTCGCCCAAAGCAAGGCATTCAATGACTTGATTATCCTCAAATTGAGCCTATGCCAAATAATGGCGCATTAACGCATTGCGATTAGTGCCCTGAGCCGAAACCACGCCCGAATTTTGGACCAAAGGAAAAGAACCAAATTGAATATGGAAATGCTGCCTCGGATCCAATGACGATGAAGCTTCATGGGCATTCTTGTTTGAAAAATTCCAATTATCCAACTTAATAAGCCCAAATTTGCTAAGTACTCTTGATGAAGATTGGTCCAACTTTTCCTTTGGGGCCAGAAACTTAAGTGAGGATTTGAGAGCTATTGTCCTTCGGTCCACAATATCAACCAACTCCGTATCAGCATGCCAATGTTGATCAAGAGAATGAGCTCTAGCAAAACGTCCATTGAATAGATGAAAGTGGCACACGAAATCTAGCCAAATACGATCTTTGAGCCCATAGACAAAATGCCCCACTATGTTACTTGCAACCGAGAAGCGAAAAGAACGTGAGGTGATCGGAGCCACCTTGAAAACAGAAGAGATCCCACCAAGACAACATTGCAAAGCAATACCCACTGATTCCACAGAGAGGGGGAACGAAGCCGAGGAGAAAGAAACAACCAAAAAGAACTCTTTGGTGTCTCTTGAGGGGGAGAAATGAACTGTGGACCCAAATTTTCTTCTCACCTGATCTGCAAGGGCTAGGCCCAGAGCAAAGTCCCAATGCAGTAAGCTTTCCATGGTTGAT